ACCAAGTGATTTACTTTGGATAACAACATATTTTCTTTTTGTGTTAATAGAACAAAAATAAATACTAGAAGAATTCAGATATTCTAGTGTCTTTTTCATTACAGATGTTGTCTAAAATTTGAAATGAGGTACCATGGGGATATGTTTTTTAATTAAATAGTTAAGCAAAATCGGAATGTATCTGTAATTGTTTGCATTTCTAGGTTCTTCTTGAATATGGAAAAAATGCTTACGCGGAAGAACTACAAATTTCGACTGTTCTCCATGCCACCCCTTGACACGCCTCCCTCTCCTTGCCAGTCTCCAAAGCTACTAGCAGTTACAGTTCAATGTATCAGTTTCCAGATAAAAGCAGGTAAAAATTACAGGACAATTTCTTCGCAATATCCGTGTTGTCTATCCTCTGGCCTTTAGATGGCGCTCTTCCTTTATTCTCGCAGCTATGCGTGGTAATAGGGTTACACTTCAAAAATTGGACTAAACTATCTACTAAAGAAAAAAGGGGGTATCCCTTCAGAAAAAAACATATTAATATTCTTTCGCCCCTTTTTGCGAACTGTGAAATTTTATATAGAACAGTGAGAAGTAATTTACAGATGTCATAACGAACATCAGGTTTAGTGATGCTAAGCTCAATTTTTCCTCTCCCCCTCCCCTTTCGAGTATGCAATGGGACGTGCTGGCGGTAAGTTTTGAGTTTCGGCGCGAAAAAAAGCAGTTTGTAGTCAGGAAGTTAAGCCTGCACGTCTTTTTTTTTTTTTTTTTTTCCGTCCCTCACGTTTTATTCCTCCCTCACGAGGCGGGGCGCTTCTGAACGTTGGGAAGGAGTGCGCGAGGCACCGGTGAGCGAGGTGGGGGGAGGGCGGGAGGCCTCCCGGCTGCGGCAGTAGCGGTTCGGCGTAGGAAGCTCCGACCTGTGTAAGGATTATCTATCTATAAAAAATATTTATATAGCAAATTTAGGAACCGCCCATCTCCCCCCAGAGCAGAGGTAGGCGACCTTGGCTCTTTTATGACTCGTGGACTTTAACTCCCAGAATTCCTGAGCCAGCTGTGCTGGCTCAGGAATTCTGGGAGTTGAAGTCCACGAGTCATAAAAGAGCCAAAGTCGCCTACCTCTGCCCCAGAGGAAGCAATGGTACTTGGAGGATGGAGGCGAGCGGCCATGCCTGCTTTTTATTTATTTGATTTTAGTCCGCCTTTATTTACTTGATAAGTAATGCAAGGCGGTGACCATCCCTAATACTTCTCCCTCCTATTGTCTCCACAACAACCCTGTGAGGTGAATTGAGCGGAAAGAGAGTGACTGGCCCAAAGGCACCCAGCGGTTTTTTTCATGCCTAGGGCTGGACTAGAACTCAATCTCCTGCTTTCTAGGCCAGCATCTTAACCACTAAATCAGCCCTTGGTGGTGGTAGGGGAAGAAATCTCCTTTAGGCTTCTCGGGTGGGGCTTTCCTGCCCTTGCCTTTCTCCGTTCAAGGAGAGAGTGGGTCAGTTCAAAACAAAAACCCTACTTTAACGGAGCCCACCCCACGCCTTTGAAGCTTGGGTGAAAATTTACCTGGGTTGGTGTCTTGGGAGTGCATGCTCCTTCCTCTTTTTCCATTAGGATTTTGAGTGTGGGAGTAGGGAAGAATCAGGCACCTGGCCTGGCTTTTTGCTTGGTCAGGCTTAAATTAGAGGTTACTTTGGACCTAGCCAAGTTAATTTGGAAGCTAGTTTTTGGACAAGGTTAATGCCTGGAATGTAAAAGAAGAAAAGGAGAGTAATTCCATCTAAGCTTGTTTTCCTCTTTTGTTTGTTTTTCTAGGAACAAGATGCCAAAGAGAAAAGCAACCAAAGTTTCCAAAAAGAAATTGGCAGTAAGTGGCATTTTGTTTTAAAGTGTGCATAGGTATTTACCCCTTCTTTTTAATGCAGAGGCTTGAGTTGATTCAGGTGTAGGAATTCTATAAATTTATTTAATTCTTGAGCCATTTAGTTTTGCAATGACTTTCTGAACATAAAACATTAGATCGTCAATTTTTGTGACATAGTTGAAGTAGGGCTGTTCACTACTTAGTACTTTGTTTTCAAATTGTTTGCAGTGTGAACATTAATGCAACCACATGTTTCTCTGGGATTATATAGCAGCTAGAGAAAACAACTCCATGGTTTTTTTTTCAATAATTTCCAATAATTTTTATTAGAGATTATATTAAACAAGTAGAACTTACACAATTACAAAATATATTAAAGAAAATAAATAAACAACTTCATGGTTTCAGGAATAGATGCAGCAGCTCTAAAATATTAATAGGTGCCTTGTGCAAAGCTCTAGATGGTAGTACTACATATGGCCCCTGCTAACCTTTTCTTAATTTGAATTTATTACTTATTTGTAACAGCCTCTTAAATATTTAACTTTCTGAAGAGCTTAGATAATGTGTTTTTTAACATTGCTATGTTAAAAAAGTGCATGGAGCTTTTGAAATTCAGAACTTTAACATCTTTTGTTCTGGATGGAGTTATATTACCCCAGATAGACCCAGTGTGCAACTTGTGGGTTCTCCTAGATTTACAATTCCTGCTTAAAGAGCAGGTGGCAGTTGTGGCTTTGAGACCCTTTGTGCAACTTTGGATTGTGTGGCAGCTGGTCCTTTCTTGCTTTGGAAGTCCCTGCACTCAGTCACTCAAGCCCTGGTCATCTCACACTTGGACTATTGCAACATGCTGTAGGTGGGGCTACTTGAAGAGTATTTGGAAATTACAGCTGGCACAGAATGCTATCTTGTAGACAGTTCTTGGGGCCCCTAGGGTGGCCTGTATCACCAGTTGCCGGTTTGTTTCTAGGTTCAATTCAAAATGTTGGTTATCACTTTAAAAGTTTAAAGCCTTACATGGCATGGATCCAGGTTGCCTAAAGAACCATCTTACACCAATGGGATTGCCCCCATCCCACTTACCCAGTAGAAAGGGATACGATGTCTGGGATAATCAGTTCCTTCAGACAGACCGACCCAGGTCCTTTTTTCGTAAAAGACGAAACCAAGAATCGGAAATATTGTAGTACTGAAGACTCCACTCTAGATATAGGTGGGAAAACCGGAAGGTTTTCATAGACTTCTGAACCGACACGATTGACCGTACCTTCGGGTTACCCTCGTATATTAAGAACTGGTGGTTAACAGACCATGATAAGACAACTCCCCCATGCATCCTGCTCCCTCTCCCCATCTTTGTGAATGTTAAGCTAATTTAATATTACTATTTATTGGTTTGATGCATTAATGTTTTTATCACTTTTTAAATAATTGCCTAAAGTTACCTGCAGGTGAAATGGTAGCATATAAACTGAATAAATAAATAATCTTTTTCCTTGCAGGGATATCAAACCAAGCCAGACTCTCAGGGTAAACTGTTTTCATCTGAGGAGCCTGATGTCTCAAGTATTTTGAAAATTCCTGGAACCGGACAAACAGAGGAAACTGAAGACTTATTTGGTTAGTTATTGTCTGTAACATTTTTAAGACGTTCATACATAGTTATTAGAGTGGTCTGCTTTCTTACTGGCACATTGGGTAGCCATCTGCACTCTGAATTATTATTTTTGCTTACTGATGTTGGATTTTATATTTATTGTAAGTGATCAGGAATTATGCTGAGCTGGTAATGTAAAAATAGTTGTAATGAATAAATATAAGATATTATTCCCAACTGCAATTTGTAGATAGCAATTGTTCTGACATGTGTGTAGATTGAATAAATGCAGAATAAAAATATGATTGTGTTACATTTCCAATAAGCAAGTTAAATAAATATAAAATACATACTGCATCCAGTTTTGGATGCAGTATGTATTTTAGGAATACTGCATCCAGTTTTGGTCATCACGATGTAAAAAAGATGTTGAGACTCTAGAAAGAGCACGGAGAAGAGCAATAAAGATGATCAGGGGACTGGAGGCTAAAACATGTAAGGAATGGTTGCTGGAATTGGGTATGTCTAGACTCTAGTCTAATGAAGAGAAGGACGAGGGGTGACATGATAGCAGTGTTCCAATATCTCAGGGGTTGCCACAAAGAAGAGGGAGTCAAGCTATTCTCCAAAGCACCTGAAGGCAGGACAAGAAGCAACGGATGGAAACTAACCAAAGAGAGAAGCAACCTAGAACTAAGGAGAAATTTTCTAACAGTTAAAACAATTAATCAGTGGAACAACCTGCTTCCAGAAGCTGTGAATGCTCCAACACTAGAAGTTGTTAAGAAGAGACTGGACAGCCATTTGTCTGAAATGGTATAGGGTTTCCTGCCTGAGCAGGGGGTTGGACTAGATGACCTCCAAGGTCCCTTCCAACTTCTTTATTATTATTATTATTATTAATAATAATAATAATAATAATAATAATAATAATAATAATAATAATAAAAATACATGTATATTATAATGTCTAGTACATTTTTATAAATATACTTATTTAATTTTATGGATACAGAAAGATCAAATATAAAATCCTACCAAGATAGCTACAGCATCTGGATTAGCTTTAGCATTAATAAGCAATTGAATAATAAAAGAAATTGCTGTGTTTTACAACAAAGAATTTTAAATAATATACCCAAATGTGATATTAAAAATTAACATTAGTGTATTGCAAAACTATACAATGAAGTATGTCAAATTTTGCTAATTTGGAAGTTGAGCACTTGCCACACAGATGCTATTTCTTGGTCATTGCTTTGTACATCTTTCAATTGTTCAAAGAATCTCTCCCTTTGGAAAACTTTGAGTAGGTCCCAACTGTGCAAGTAGTGCTTTTCACAAGGCTGGAGGAGCTGCCCATATTAAACAGGTCAGCATTGTTGGCTGTAAACAGCTCAGTGTCTAGTCTCTGGAATTCTTGTGTGAATGCCAGACTGAACAGCAGTTTCCTTGAGCCTACTGCCCTCCCTTCTCTAATTCCACACTCCCTGTTTTCACAGAAACAGGCATGGCAGATACCACCTTTATTTTTATTTGTTTGTTTATTGTTTAAATTTATTTACCACCCATCTCGCCTTGAGACTATCCTCTGTAAAATGCTCATATTAGTAATACCTTTTACTGATAAAATTTTTGTTTGCTTTATTCCAGCACATACTCTTGGGACAGGGTCCAAGTTTTATAACAGATACGTTTTACATCTCTGATCAGCATAAACATTTTCTTCCATTAATTTGTCCTAATGCCTACTCTTAAATCCTGCCAGCTATGCCAGGTATATTACACTGAGGGCTAAAAATTCTATTCTCACTTTCATATGACCAGGCATTGCTACTTGCTCAATGTCTAGTGGACCAAACTAAGTTAGAACCCTAGAAAAATCAAGGTGGGATATCAACCTTTCATGGTATCTTGTTCTGCGTGATTGCTTCAAAGAACTATAGTTACCAAACACTTTTATACAAGGCTTATTGCATCTTGGTGTTTTTTCCCCTCTTCCTAATGTCTTTCTCTTGAGTGAAACTGCTTCATGCATTTCACACAGAAACTATTGTTTTGAGATTTTCTGTGATAAGACATGCAGGGTCTTTTACATTGTTATAGTTAATTAGTACTTTTTCATCCTAGATCATCCTTTACATAGCACTGCTCTATCTGTATTCGAGGAGGAAGAAGAGGCTAATAATGGGAACGATCAATATTCAACACTGAATGAGTCTGCCAGCAATTTCTCTGATCCAGAGTCCCCAAAGAAAAATGCAAAGAAAAGGTATTCCAAAAATAATAAGTTTATTTTCTCTAGACTGATTTTCTATGTGTACATGAATTTATTAGTGTGTCCAGCTCTGCTAACTTAATCCAGCTATTAATCACTTATATAACTTCATTGAAGCTATGTCATCCAAATAGAGAAGTGTTTTGAGCATATCTAATACTTCATTCTAAAATTCCTAGTAAAGTACAAATATCAAGTTAAAGAATCAGTTATATTCTTTATTTTTGGTGATTTTGAATTGGCTTTGAGTTTGGTCTCTACATAGATAAGACTTCTTACCAACATGTTTTCTTATAATCGTTGCTTCTCTGTATGTTCCAAATGTACTGCTTTTTCTTTAAAACATTTATACTTTTCGAGTCGGACAGGGTCCAAGTTTTGTAAGGACTTGCACATCTCTCATTAGCATAACCATTTTCTTAAATTACAGTTGTGAAGACAGTAAAATCTTGCTTAACCTTTTGTACTTCCTCTGTATCATCACTATCAAATATTTAGTTCTTACAATAGAGTCCCAAAGGTGGCATTTCTGATCAACTTCCTCAGGATTTGATTTTCTTACAAAAGTCAGAAGATTTTGGACTTTTTGCATGCCAGCTTTTCGGAAAACCTTGAAGACTTGGATTTGTTCCTGGGCATGGGAGTCAGATGGTTAATTAGAGCTGAGACATAGTTGTTCTGATAGTTCTGAATTTTTTTAATCTGGGTTGTCATTTTATATTGTTTTTTATGTGTATTTGTACATTTTTATATGACATTAACTGCCCAAAGTTATTGGTGCTCTCTGAGCTTGGTGGTTTTCTTGCAGACTTTTCATTACCAAACTAGGTAACATCAGTGCTAGGAGGGAGTGGAGTTTGATCTTATTTTTATATACTAGTGCAGAGGTCCCCAGCCCCCAGGCTGCGGCCCACTACTAGGCTGTGAGCTGTTCAGAACTGGGCCATGGAAGCAGCAGGCAAGCGATGTGTGCTCCATTTGAATGAGCAGTAGAGCATGAGCCCGCCACTTGAACAAATGGAGCTGTGCACGCTTGCCCACAGCTGGCACGGAATCATCCCTTCTCCTCCCTCCACTGGTTCGCAAAGCCAAAAAGGTTAGAGAACTCTGTACTAGTGGTTTGCATTGTCAGTGTTGGTGGGAATGTTTTTGAAGGTTCCTTGATTAGGCTGTTGTTTATTGTTAGCTTGTTTGTCTGCATTGATAATTCCTTGGTTGGAGTATTGTTACTTGATTGTTGGTCTAGGCCAGAGGTAGGCAACCTTGCTCTTTTATGACAGGTTGCCTACCCCTGGTCTAGGCCCTAGGGTTAATCTTGGTGTTAATCTCTGCTTGTATGGGTGTTGATTACGGGTGATGTGTTGTTTTGGTCTTTTTGTTTCCTTTGGAGCTTTTTGATTATCTCTTTTGAGTGGTATATAGATTTTGTTTATCTATATGTGCCTATTGATTTGTTTGAGTGCCAGGCCTCCAGGAATTCTCTGGTGCTTGATCTAATATGCTCATACTTTCCCAGTTGAAACTATGGTTGACTATGTCCATGTGTTATAAAATTAAGGAGTTTTCGTCATATCTTCTGATTGCTAGTGGGTATTTGTAAATGTGCTGTGCTACTCTTCTGCCTGTTTGTCCTAAATAGTGGCTGTTACAATCCTTACACTGTTTGTTGTAGATAGATTCCTGTTTTATTTCTTCTGCGGCTGCTAGGGCTTTTGGTTTATTTACTTAGGATGTTTTGGGAGGGCTTTAGTTGGTTTATGTGATACAGTGATGCCATGTAGTTGTAATAGTCCAGAGCTTTTCAACCTTTTCACCCATTGTACCACTTTTAGGATATGGCAACATCCGAGTACCACCAGACACCTAGAAAGGTGTCAAAAACTTGATGACCCAAAAAAAAAAAGGAAAAAAGTGATAAAGTACAGGTAGTCCTCAACTTAACAACAGTTCGCTTAGTGACTGTTCGAAGTTACAATGGCACTGAAAAAAGTGCCCCCCGAGCCACAGCGGAGCAAGACACCTGCCTGCTCGCCTGGCCGCGTTCTTACTCCTGTCCGAGGTTTTCATTGTTGTGAGCATTTCTGTTGAGGATTGGCAGCGGGGTGGGGGAGTGTTTGGTTTTTATTCCCCCCGTCTGCTGGGTGGTTGCAGCAGGTTTTGGTCACTTCACATGACCCTCGGACACTGTGACCGTCATAAATATGAATCAGTTGCCAAGCATCTGAATATAAATCACAAGACCTTGGAGATGCTGCAACATTCCAGCTGATTGGTGCTTCTTCAGGGCTCAGCAGAAGCTCCAGGATCAGTGCCGAGCTCCAGCTGGAGCCTGGCGCTGATCCTGTCGCTTCCATTGAGCCCCGACAGCCCCGAAGAAGCGTGGATCAGCTGGAAAGCAGCACTGATCCTGGCTCTTCCGCTGAGCCCTGACAGCCCTGCAGCTCCAGCCATCTCTCGCTCAGGCTTGTGCGGTGCTGCCACCGGTTCAGCTCATTCCCCTCCCCTGCTACCACTTTTCTAGGATGGTCGCGTACCACCTGCCAGGGGCCAATGTACCACAGGTGGTACCCGTAAAACTGGTTGAAAAGCCCTGTAATAGTCTGTTGGTGGTTTCTGAGATGTTTTTGATGTATTTCAATATTATCATTTACTTGCAGCTTGTGTTGGTTGCCCTATGGTAGGTTGAATGGTCAGGTTTTTTTTTGATAAACTTGTGTGGGTATTCATTTTGTTGGAAGACAGAATTGCTGCCTGTGCTTGTGTTTCTCTGAATAGTGGTCATATATAGTTTCTCTTGTAGGAAGTTAGGTTGTTGCTTAGGTAAGGGAGCACTAGGCTGGTGTGGATAGATTGGTAATGGAATTGTTTTTTTAACTTGCCATCAGTGTTTCTGCTTATGAGGATATCTAGGAAAGATATTGTTTGTTGTTGTTTTTTCTTCCTGGTGAATGTTATTTCTTTGGAGATATTATAATAATAATAATAATAATAGTAAAGTTGGAAGGGACCTTGAAGGTCATCTAGTCCAACCCCCTGCTCAGGCAGGAAACCCTATACCATTTCGGACAAATGGCTGTCCAGTCTCTTCTTAATTGTTGATAGTTTCATATGTTATGACACCTCCCAAGATGGCACCTGAATGTTAGGAACTCCTTTCCTGCTGACTATCTGCTGATTTTACTGCCAGAACTGGTTCTCTGGCAATACTGCTCCCTGGATTTGAATGGGAGCACTTAGGAATGACCTAGATGAGTTTGGATGGCATGGAACCATCTGGGAAGGGGAGTCTTGAAGATTTCAATTCCCTTTGGGAGTGGTCAGAAAGTTAGAGCATCCATCTTCCTTTCAGCATTTCAGTTTCTAAGCAAGCCTGGGTATTAACTTTCACTTTTTGAATTTTGAATGTGTTGCTTTTGCTTTTTGTCTTTAAAAGTTGACTGGCTGATTGAATGCTGATCTTCTTTAACCCCTTCCTGGATTTTATCTTTTTTTTTCCCTCCTTTTGATTTATGTTGTTTTAAATAACTGTTGCATTTCTATATGGAAACATGACATGTCCTTAGATGGTGAAATGCTTTTATTTGAATTACATCAATATTAGAATTTTATCACAGGGTTTTTATATTTTATTAACTTGCAAAATATTTGGAGGTTTTTTTTAAAAAAAAAATTTAACTTTGGATTGACATATGTNATGCTACAGACCCTATTAGTCAAGGAAGTCTGTCTGGCTGGGTCCAGGAAAAAAGCATTTTCTGCTTTGGTTCTTAGCCTTTATAACATCATGACTTCTGAGGTGAGATCTATATCCACCCTTTTGGCCTTCCAAAAGTATCTGAAGACTTGGCTGTGCTAACTGGCATGGAAGCCCAATGGGAGCATATAATTCTTGACCATGATAAGACAACCCCCCCATGCATCCTGCTCCCTCTCCCCATCTTTGTGAATGTTAAGCTAATTTAATATTACTATTTATTGGTTTGATGCATTAATGTTTTTATCACTTTTTAAATAATTGCCTAAAATTACTTGCAGGTGAAATGGTAGCATATAAACTGAATAAATAAATAATATTTTTCCTTGCAGGGATATCAAACCAAGCCAGACTCTCAGGGTAAACTGTTTTCATCTGAGGAGCCTGATGTCTCAAGTATTTTGAAAATTCCTGGAACCGGACAAACAGAGGAAACTGAAGACTTATTTGGTTAGTTATTGTCTGTAACATTTTTAAGACGTTCATACATAGTTATTAGAGTGGTCTGCTTTCTTATTGGCACATTGGGTAGCCAACTGCACTCTGAATTATTTTTTTTTTCTTACTGATGTTGGATTTTATATTTATTGTAAGTGATCAGGAATTATGCTGAGCTGGTAATGTAAAAATAGTTGTAATGAATAAATATAAGATATTATTCCCAACTGCAATTTGTAGATAGCAATTGTTCTGAGATGTGTGTAGATTGAATAAATGCAGAATAAAAATATGATTGTGTTACATTTCCAATAAGCAAGTTAAATAAATATAAAATACATACTGCATCCAGTTTTGGATGTATTTTAGGAATACTGCATCCAGTTTTGGTCACCACGATGTAAAAAAGATGTTGAGACTCTAGAAAGAGCACGGAGAAGAGCAATAAAGATGATCAGGGGACTGGAGGCTAAAACATGTAAGGAACGGTTGCTGGAATTGGGTATGTCTAGACTCTAGTCTAATGAAGAGAAGGACGAGGGGTGACATGATAGCAGTGTTCCAATATCTCAGGGGTTGCCACAAAGAAGAGGGAGTCAAGCTATTCTCCAAAGCACCTGAAGGCAGGACAAGAAGCAACGGATGGAAACTAACCAAAGAGAGAAGCAACCAGAGAAGCTTCCAGAAGCTGTGAATGCTCCAACACTGGAAGTTGTTAAGAAGAGACTGGACAGCCATTTGTCTGAAATGGTGTAGGGTTTCCTGCCTGAGCAGGGGGTTGGACTAGATGACCTCCAAGGTCCCTTCCAACTTCTTTATTATTATTATTATTATTATTATTATTATTATTATTATTATTAATAATAATAATAATAATAATAATAAATACATGTATATTATAATGTCTAGTACATTTTTATAAATATACTTATTTAATTTTATGGATACAGAAAGATCAAATATAAAATCCTACCAAGATAGCTACAGCATCTGGATTAGCTTTAGCATTAATAAGCAATTGAATAATAAAAGAAATTGCTGTGTTTTACAACAAAGAATTTTAAATAATATACCCAAATGTGATATTAAAAATTAACATTAGTGTATTGCAAAACTATACAATAAAGTATGTCAAATTTTGCTAATTTGGAAGTTGAGCACTGGCCACACAGATGCTATTTCTTGGTCATTGCTTTGTACATCTTTCAATTGTTCAAAGAATCTCTCCCTTTGGAAAACTTTGAGTAGGTCCCAACTGTGCAAGTAGTGCTTTTCACAAGGCTGGAGGAGCTGCCCATATTAAACAGGTCAGCATTGTTGTCAGCATTGTTGGCTGTAAACAGCTCAGTGTCTAGTCTCTGGAATTCTTGTGTGAATGCCAGACTGAACAGCAGTTTCCTTGAGCCTACTGCCCTCCCTTCTCTAATTCCACACTCCCTGTTTTCACAGAAACAGGCATGGCAGATACCACCTTTATTTTTATTTGTTTGTTTATTGTTTAAATTTATTTATCACCCATCTCGCCTTGAGACTATCCTCTGTAAAATGCTCATATTAGTAATACCTTTTACTGATAAAATTTTTGTTTGCTTTATTCCAGCACATACTCTTGGGACAGGGTCCAAGTTTTATAAGAGATAAGTTTTACATCTCTCATCAGCATAAACATTTTCTTCCATTAATTTGTCCTAATGCCTACTCTTAAATCCTGCCAGCTATGCCATGTATATTACACTGAGGGCTAAAAATTCTATTCTCACTTTCATATGACCAGGCATTGCTACTTGCTCAATGTCTAGTGGACCAAACTAAGTTAGAACCCTAGAAAAATCAAGGTGGGATATCAACCTTTCATGGTATCTTGTTCTGCGTGATTGCTTCAAAGAACTATAGTTACCAAACACTTTTATACAAGGCTTATTGCATCTTGGTGTTTTTTCCCCTCTTCCTAATGTCTTTCTCTTGAGTGAAACTGCTTCATGCATTTCACACAGAAACTATTGTTTTGAGATTTTCTGTGATAAGACATGTAGGGTCTTTTACATTGTTATAGTTAATTAGTACTTTTTCATCCTAGATCATCCTTTACATAGCACTGCTCTATCTGTGTTCGAGGAGGAAGAAGAGGCTAATAATGGGAACGATCAATATTCAACACTGAATGAGTCTGCCAGCAATTTCTCTGATCCAGAGTCCCCAAAGAAAAATGCAAAGAAAAGGTATTCCAAAAATAATAAGTTTATTTTCTCTAGACTGATTTTCTATGTGTACATGAATTTATTAGTGTGTCCAGCTCTGCTAACTTAATCCAGCTATTAATCACTTATATAACTTCATTGAAGCTATGTCATCCAAATAGAGAAGTGTTTTGAGCACATCTAATATTTCATTCTAAAATTCCTAGTAAAGTACAAATATCAAGTTAAAGAATCAGTTATATTCTTTATTTTTGGTGATTTTGAATTGGCTTTGAGTTTGGTCTCTACATAGATAAGACCAGGGCTTTTTTTCTCAGAGAAAAGGTGGTGGAACTCACCTCCCTCCCCTGGCCACGCCCCCACCCAAACCTGGCCACGCCCCCTTCTTGCTCGGGCAGGGTCGCCTAGGAAACGGGCCAGGGGCGCGCCGACCGAGCCTCCCTATGGCCGCGGTTGTGAGCCAGGCAGGGGCAGAGAGCTGCGAGTGCGAGCGCGCCCCCCCAGATGTTGCGCCCGGTGCGGCCGGCCCGGAAAAAGGTGCCGGAACGCGGTTCCGCCGCGTTCCGGCTGAAAAAAAGCCC